ACTCTGCTTGGAAGAAACTGTGGCCAGAATGTGTAGACAAAAGGGATTTTGAAGGGGTTTTAGGCTAACCCTGAGAGGAGTAGTATACCAGTTGAGGAATCAATTGTGGAATTGGGGAAGTCCTTGGGGTTGGAGGTTAGTGGTGAAGTGGAGGAGGACAATGAAGAACTAACCACTGATGAGCTGATAGATCAACTTCAAGAGCAAGAGGCCAGACCTGGGAAACTGGTTCAAAGGGGGGGAGAGAGAAATTGAAGGAATTGCCTACTTCAAAGATTAAGGAAATGTGTGCAAAATGGCTTGAAGTGCAAACCTTTTTTGATGAAAATCACCCTCACCAGCTATGCAAGCCGTGCTGGTGACTGTTACAATGACACTGTTGTGAACCACTTTAGACAAATATAAAGGAACGAGAGGTACAGGCCACTATGGACAGATATGTTGTGCGAAAGAAGTCCAGTGACTCTGAAACTGGTCCCAGTGGCATTAAAAGAAGAAGGGAAGTAACCCCAGAAAAGGACTTGCTACCTCAAGTCCCAATGGAAGGGGATTCCCCTTCTAAACACTAACACTCTCTCTCCCTCCTCCCATCCCATCAATCATCACCAGATCTTCAATTAAAAGTAAGTGTCATGTAATTGTGCATGCCTTTTTCAGTTTGTTGTACTAAAATTAAATTTTTTTGTGGTAAAAAAAATTTTTTTCATACTTTTGGTGTCTTGCACGGATTAATTTTATTTCCATTATTTCTTATGGGGAAAATTAATTCGCATAGCGAACATTTCGCATAACGACCAGCCCTCTTGCACGGATTAAGTTCGCTATGCGGGGGTCCACTGTATACACACCCTTCTGGGTTTTCTTCTATTTTCTTTCTAGTTCTTGTTCTTGTTTATTTCCTCTATCTCCATGGGGAAGTGGAACCAGAATCTTCCTCTGTAAGCCATGCGTGTTGTAAGAGGCGACTAAAATGCCGGGAGCAAGGGACTAGTAACCCCTTCTCCTGTATAAATTACTAAATTTAAAAAGAGAAACTTTCGTTTTTCTTTTTGGGCCACCCCGCCTTGGTGGGATACGGCCGGTTTGTTAAAAAAAAAAAAAATTATGTATGTTTACATTTCTCTTGACTGCAAATGGAATACAGTGAAACCTCAGTTTTCTTAATGAATTCGTTCCAGAAAGTCTGACGAAAACTGAATTGTACGAAAACTGAAGCAATATTTCCCATAAGCAATAATGTAAATCCAATTAATCCATTCCAGACACCCAAAAATATTAACAAAAAATACATTTTATAGATAATAACTATAGTTTTACATATAGAGAAAATGAGAAATAAATATAAAGGACTAATGAAATGGATAAATGAACATTTAACATCGCTTTCACCTTTATTGAAGACTTTTGTTGGTGTATGGAAGATGGCGAGGAGGGGAGAGGGAGGAGGAGAGGTTATTGTTTTGAAGTGGAATCCCCCTCCATAAGGACTTAAGGTATCAAGACCCTCTCTGGGGTTACTTCCCTTCTTTGTCTTTTATTGGCACTAGGACCAGCTTGAAAGTCACTGGACCCCTGTCACACAGAAAATCTGTCCAGAGAGGTCTGTTTCTGGCGTCTAAGATTTGCCTAAAATGGGACAAGGCATTGTCATTGAACATGCTGCAGACACGGCTTGCAATAGCTTTATTAGGGTGATATTTCTCCACAAAACTTTGCAACTCATTCCACTTTGCACGTATGTCCTTAATCACTGAAAATGGCACATTCTCCCCTCTCTCTCTTCTTCCTCCTCTGAAGCAATTTCCTCAGCTGTGGTCTGTTGCTGTTCCAGTTGAAGGTCTTGTAGCTCTTCAGTAGTTAGCTCTTCCCTGTAGTCGTCCACCAACTCTTCCACATCCTGGCCACTCACATCCCCAAAGAAACACAAGACACAGATCTCTTTTTGATGTATCCCATGTCCATATCACACTGTGTAAAAAAACTATGCACATGAAGGGCCCCAAAATATGGAATTCATTACCAGAAGATACTGAAGTAACCCAATCTGAAAATCAATTTAAGACTCTTCTCAAAAGCTACTTAATCACCCTAGACTAAATGCTGAATACTCTGTACTCACATACTCAGTACATATTCCCATATCATAATTTCAACAATTACTTTCGAACCTTTTATCCATTGTCAACAGGAATGTAATTGAATCATTGTTTCACAAAAAGCATTTTTGAATATATGAATATATCTTTTGTCTTATATAAATTCAATTCACTTATAATTAATAATCTACTGTACAACTATGATATAATTCTTAATGTTAAGTAGTCAGTAAGCCAATAATGTTAAGTTGGCCCATAATGCCTAGGCATAATAGAGGCTCTCTTTGCATTGCAACCCACTATTGTAAATACATAATCTCAATGTACTATTTGCAGACATAAATAAATAAATAAAACAATAGGCGCAGGGTTGTCAGGGTCAGCCTCAAACCCTTCAAAATCCTTCTCAAGGACACATTCTGGCCACAATTTTCTACAAGCAGAGTTCATCATCCTGGAAGTTACTCCCTGCCAAGCTTGTGCAATTGAGGATATTGAAGTGATTCCTCCAGAGCTCTCTTAGGGTCAATTCAGTGTTTGAGGTCACTTCAAACCATCTTTGAAACATTGCTTTGGTGTAGAGTTTTTTGAAGCTTGAAATGACTTGCTGGTCCATGGGCTGAATGAGAGTAGTAGTATTAAGGGAACAGAACTTCACTGTGATGAAATTAAACTCCTCCAACAATTAGTCTTCCAAGCCTGGATGATGAGCAGGAGCATTGTCCATTGCCAGGAGGCACTTGAGTGGCAATTGCTTTTCCAGGAGGTATTTCTTCACACTTGGGCCAAACACTTCATTGACCCAATGAAAATTTGCCTCGTGACCCATGCCTTATTGTTAGAAACAAAGCCAGACTGAGTCAGAATGCATGGGATGCTTTGTGTGGATGCGGGCAGGCGGACGTGTTTGGTACGGCAGACCATTGTCAACTCTACAAAAACCAAGCGGATGTATGAAAACTGGGACAAAATTTTGACAAAAAAAAGTCGTCGAAAACTGAATCCTACAATAACCAGAGCATACGAAAACCGAGATTACACTGCATGTACAATCTGTAATTGTTTGTATGCATAAGTTTTGGTAAATTTTAACTTCATATAATAGATTTGTGTACAATGGAACCTCAGTATGCGACCTTAATTCATTCCAAAAGGCTGTTTGAGTGCTGTTGCTTTTGAGTATCGAACAAATTCTTCCCAACCAATTTTCTGTTTGGTTGGCTGTTATCACTAATCGTCATAGGCCCCTTGGTGACTTATTTATACAAATACAAAAAACACCAAAAAATGTTAAGAAACATGAAATAGTTTACAGCGAAGTCTGGCAGGTCGTATTTGTTTGGTTGAGTGCTGAGCTTTGTTCGAGTAGGGAGCTGATCATATACCAAGGTCCCACTGTACATTTTATGGTAGTAAATGATAAAATAGACTGGTATCTATATATATTTTATGCATTCATGATGTACCTAACCTTTCCTTAATTTTTTCGGTCACAGATCACAAAACAAAATTTCCTGGAGTATACCTGGAAATATACACAGTATTTATATTTATTGAAAAAATCCAGGTATAAATGGACCTGTGTTGTTCGAGGGTCAACTGTAATACCCCCTCTTCTGCTGGCTCCAGTATAAACATCTCCATCATCATCATCATCATTATCATCATCATGTCCCTGTAATAGAGTGAGAAAACCTTGCTGTGCAAGCAAACTGTCTCTGAGAGTAAAAACACCCAAGTGTTGCACATACAGTGGAACCTCGGTTTTCATTTGCCCTGGTTTTCGTCGAATTCAGTTTTCAACAACTTTTTTCGTCAAAATTTTGTCCCAGTTTTCGTTCATCACCTCGGTTTTCATTGAGTTGACAATGATCCACCATACTGAACGTGACCGCCCGCACCCACACAAAGCGTCCCACGTGTTCTGAGTCAGTCTGGCTTTGTTTCTCGTCGGTAGAGGGTGGTAGTGATGGTGGAAGAGGGTGGCAGTGATGGTGGTAGAGGGTGGCAGTGATGGTGGTGGAGGGTGGCAGTGATGGTGGTAGAGGGTGGTAGTGATGGTGGTAGAGGGTGGTAGTGGTTGTGATGGTGGTAGAGGGTGGTAGTGATTGTGATGGTGGTAGTGATTGTGGTAGAGGGTGATAATAATGGTGGTAGAGGGTGGTAGTATGGTGTTGGTAGAGGGTGGTAGTGGTTGTGATGGTGGTAGAGGGTGGTAGTGGTTGTGATGGTGGTAGAGGGTGGTAGTGGTTGTGATGGTGGTAGAGGGTGGTAGTGGTTGTGATGGTGGTAGAGGGTGGTAGTGATTGTGGTAGAGATAACCTCTCCTCCCTCTCCCCTCCTCGCCGTCTTCCATACGCCAACAAGAGTCTTCCATAAAGGTAAAAGTGATGTTAAATGTTCATTTATCCATTTCATTAGCCCTTTATATTTATTTCCCATTGTTTTCTGTATGTAAAACTATAGTTATTCTTTATAAAATGTATTTTTTGTTAATACTTGTGGGTGTCTGGAACGGATTAATTGGATTTACATTATTTCTTATGGGAAATATTGCATCAGTTTTCGTCGAATTTGGTTTTCGTCAAGACTTTCTGGAACGAATTAATCACGAAAACCAAGGTTCCACTGTGAGTCTTTCTCATCATATTCATCATATATATTGTTTTGTATGAATGCATTCTTTGCAAATGTTTTGCAGAATATATTGAGGTTGCTGGAATTATGATCACTAGTTATTAGATAGTTTTTTAAATCCTAAGTCATAGTTTGTAAAATTTTAATTATGTACTTGTGTATGTTTTATGGATAAAAGCTTATTTAGAATAAAGCATTTCTTTCAAACAGGAATATTTAATATATTTTACACTCATGTCTTAATTGTGTGATAATAAATTCTTGTAGGATCAGTCATGGGGTCATGCCACCGCTTTGGGAAAACACAAAGCCTTCATCAGGAGAATGTACTTAAAGCAGCAGAAGTTTCAGCCAAATGTGACACTGGAAGAGAGGTACAACATACTGAGGAACACAGATCATTGGGATTAAGAAGAAATTTTTTTGCATAATATTTGTTAGCATGTAATGTAAACAAAGAATGATATGGCATATTATCATTTACAGGTTTGTTTTCTTACCCTTTTTATTCAGATATACAGTGGAACCTTGACTTACTAGTTTAATCCATTCCGTGACCTAGCTTGTAACTCAATTTGCTCGTATATCAAATCAGTTTTCCTCATTTAAATTAACTGAAATGCCATTAATCTGTCCCAGCAGCAGGACAAAATATTTCAATGTAACAACTCTAAGGCTTATTTATCTGTCACAATTCATTCAATATGACATAATAAACAATATAATTAACAAAGAAACATGATATAGTATACTCTAGAATGAATAAAATAGGCCATAATATGATGAGTGATGATACAATTTGTTTTGTTTGATTGTTGAACTTAACTGATACAATTTGCTTTAATTCCATTAAATTAATAATATAATATTATTATTATTAATTTAGGGAACTTAAGCTTAGTCATTATTATTATTATTACTGATTTATGGAACTGAAGCTTACTCATTATTATTATTATTATTATTATTATTATTATTATTATTATTATTATTATTATTATTATTATTATATTATTCTGATGCGACAGACTAAACAGGCAACAAGAGGGAGTTGGTCTGTATGTCACAGAGTCGCTCATTTGCACAGAACTACTAAACACCTCAAATGATGTAGTTGAAGTTTTGGCAGTAAAAATCGAAAACCAAAACCTTGTCATTGTGGTAGTATACAAGCCTCTAGATGCAACTTCCAGCAATTCCAGGAGCAGCTGAGAAAATTAACCACTGTCTGGAAAATCTCCCAACTCCTGCCCCAAACATCTTACTACTAGGAGATTTCAACCTCAGACACCTAAAATGGAGGAGTATAGCAAACCATGTTTTAGCAGAGATCACCCTGGGAGACAGCTCAGATGAAAATTCACTCACACATGAACTATTAAATCTCTTCACAAATTCACCTTGAACCAGCAAATAGTAGAGCCTACAAGACTAGAAAATACACTGGACCTCATCTTCACAAAACAATGAATGATGATCTGATACGTATATAACTGTATCAAAGACAATTCACTCAGATCACAACATAATAGAGGTACAGACATGTATGCACAGGGCTCCAGATCAGCAAAATGTGAGCAGTCATGAAGGTCTCTTCACGAAATTCAATTTCAATAACAAAAACATACAATGGGATAAAGTAAACCATGTCCTAAATGAAACAAGCTCGGAAGATATCCTAAACCACACAGACCCGAACATCTACCTTGAAAAATTAATTCTGTGGTTCTTGAGATCTGCTCAAGACACATTCCATTAAGAAAAGAAAGAGAGATGTAAACTAGAAAGTGAGAGACGTTTCCTATACAGACAAAGGTGAAGAGTCACAGAGCTGCTGAGTGGGGTCAATATATCTTAAATACGAAGGGGAGCACTAGTCAATGAAATTGCAAATATTGAACTTAAGCTGAAGGAATCTTATAGGAGACAAGAATCACAGGAAGAACTAAAAGCCATAAAGGAAATTGAAAAAAACAAAATACATGTACTTCTTCTCTTATGCCAAATCTAAGGAAAAAACAACATCCAGTATTGGGCCCCTGCTTAGGTGGGATGGGACATACACAGATGATAGCCAGGAGTGAGATAGGAGTGAGATACTAAAGTCCCAATATGACTGTGTTCAGCGATCCACTGCCCACTCTAAGGGTCGACAATCCAAATGAATTCTTTATGAATGAAACCCAAAAATTTGGTCATCCAAAACTCTCGGATATTATAACTCCACAAGATTTTGAAGAGGCAATTAATGACATGCCCATGCATTCTGCCTCAGGCCCAGACTCGTGGAACTCCATGTTCATCAAGAACTGCAAGAAGTCCCTATCACGAGCTTTTACCATCCTATAAAGAGGGAGCATGGACACGGGGTCGTCCACAGTTACTAAAAACAACAGACATAGCCCCACTCCACAAAGGTGGCAGTAAAGCAATTGCAAAGAACTACAGACTGATAGCACTAACATCCCATATCATAAAAATCTTTGAAGGGCTCTAAGAAGCAATATAGCCAACCACCTAGATACCCATCAGTTACACAACCCAGGCAACACGTGTTTAGAGCAAGTTGCTCCTGCCTGTCCCAACTACTAGACCACTATGACAAGGTCCTGGATGCTGTAGAGGATAAACAAAATACAGATGTAGTGTACAGAGACTTTGCAAAAGCTTTCAACAAGTGTGACCATAGTGTAATAGCACACAAAATGCAGGATAGAGAAATAATGGGAAAAGTTGGTAGATGGATCTACAACTTCCTGACAAATAGAACACAAATAGTAGTAGTAAACAGAGTAAAGTCCCAGGCAGCCATGGTAAAAAGCTCTGTTCCACAAGGCACAGTACTCGCTCCCAATCTATTCCTCATCCTCATTTCTGACATAGAGATGTAAGCCATAGCTCCGTGTCTTCCTTTGTGGATGACACCCGGATCACCATGGCAGTGACCTCCCTTGAAGACACTGCGAGACTCCAAGCGGACGTCAACCAAATCTTTGAATGGGCCACTCAAAACAATATGAAGTTCAATGAGGAGAAATTTCGACTACGTGTACTCGGATATGGAAAACTTGAATTAAAAATGTGTCAGGGTATACCACAAATTCTAACCTTACAATAGAGTGGAAAAGTAATGTGAAGGACCTGGTAGTGATAATGTCAGAGGATCTCGCCTTTAAAGACCACAACAATGTATCTACCACATCCTAGGAAAATGATAGGATGAATAATGAGAACCTTCAAAACTAGGGACACCAAGCCCATGATGATTCTCTTCAAATTGCTTGTGCTCTCTAGGCTGGAATACTGCTGTACACTAACGGCCCCTTCAAGGCTGGCGACATTGCAGACCTGGAGAGTGTACAAAAAACTTTCACGGCACACATAAGTGCAATAAGGCACCTAAACTACTGGGAATGGTTGAAGGTCCTTGATCTGTATTCCTCGAACGCAGGCAAGAGAGATACGTATATGATAATATACACTTGGAAGGTCCTGGAGGGATTGGTACCAAACCTGCACACGAAAATCACTCCACATGAAAGCAAAAGACTCGGCAGGAGATGCAACATTCCCCGATGAAAAGCAGGGGTGACATGAGTACCTGAGAGACAACACAATAAATGTCCGGGGTCCAAGACTGTTCAGTTGCCTCCCAGCATGCATAAGGAGGATTACCAATAGACCCCTGGCTGTCTTCAAGAACGCACTGGGCAGGCACCTAAATTCAGTACCTGACCAACTGGGCTGTGGTCTGTACATCAGCTTCTGTGCAGCCAGCAGTAACAGCTGGTTGATCAGACCCTGATCCACCATGAGGCCTGGTCTCAGACCGGGCTGCGGGGGGCGTTGAACCTCTGAAAACCCTCTCCAGGTCAACTCCAGGTAAAATTTTATAATTATAATAATAACAGTACAATGCCTGCACTTTAAAGGAGTGGTTTGGGATATTGGCAGTTTGGAGGGATATGTTGTGTATCTTTATACGTATATGCTTCTAACTGTTGTATTCTGGGCACCTCTGCAAAAGCAGTGATAATGTGTGAGTGTGGTGAAAGTGTTGAATGATGATGAAAGTATTTTCTTTTTGGGGATTTTCTTTCTTTTTTGAGTCACCCTGCCTCGGTGGGAGACGACCGACTTGTTGGAAAAAAAAAAAAAACAATACATACATAATAATAATGAGAGCTTCAGAATGCCACCAACTCAGTGCACTGTTTAGCTCTGTGTGGGAGTATTTATCTATGCTTTGCTTACATTTTTTACAGTCATTTGGCCAAATTTCATTTTTGTAAGCACGGGTCCTAAGAAAGTAAGTGTAAAGGACAGTGCTGAGAAGAAAAAGAAGATAATTTCCATGGAATTAAAACATGAAATCATAGATAAACAAGCGAGGTGTGCAGGTTTTGGGTTGAGGGGGAAGGGGGGGGAACTGGCTCGTAACTCGGATGTTGGCTCATAACTCAGAGCAAAAAATCGACTGAGCAATGGCTCGTATTCAAACTCGTACGTTGGGACACTCGTAAGTAAAGGTTCCACATTTAATTTGTGCTTCAGATTATGTGACGTGTTAGTTATCTGTTCTTTACTGACAGTTACCCATTTCTACAACTTACCTCCATCTCTAACATTTTTCCTTGTATTCCATTTTTTTTTTAAACTGAAATAATAATACTTTCTTTTTGGTACCTAGTTATATTTAAGTAGGAAAAGTTGGTAGTTTATTTTCACCTCAAACACTGTGTTGTATAACTTTTAATTTTTATTAACCTTCACATATTTAAAATAATTGTATACTCCTCTTATTTGAGACAAAATCCATCAAGTTGTGCAAGAAAGGTATACAATACTGCAACATCATGGAATCTTGGTTCAGAGGACATCTAAAAAAACCTTCTTTATGGCTACTGAAACTAACCCATTCCTTTGGGTAGGACCTACTTCCACTGGAAATCCTGCCTACCAGCGACTATGCCCTCGTTGCTACACGCCCCTATCCACTGATGCCTTATAAATGCCAGTCTCCTGGCCTTTGCTCCAGAATCTTACTACCACGGTTCTCTCGACACTAACTCCAAGGCTGAGGACTGATTACCTCATCTTTGTATATAGTTCTACTGTCTTCTAATTATGTCCTTAAATCTGTATTGATAAAGCCACTGGATGGCGAAACGTCTACGATAAAGATAACCAGATGTTGAAACATGTGTCTTAACTTTCATCTTGCCCGGGTACTGTTACCTTTCTTGCACAAAGTTGAAGCATCTTGACATCAGTAAATTTACTTTGGTAAAAAGCATTTTTGAAAATCTTGATGAACTTATGAAAGTAGTAGAGAGAAGGTTGTAGTAGATGTGATATTCCTGGAGCACTTTGAATGCATAGGTCACCTAATGCTCATATAGGTCATTTAATACACAATAAAACAAAGATAAACAATGAAAGCAAAAATAAACATAAATACTGTGGAAACAAGATGGGTCCTA